ATCCATATATATATATATATATATATATATATATATATATATATATATATATACACACACACACACACACACACACACACACACACACACACACTTTGAACAACTATTCTTGATTTATTACTATAGCTAATAAAATGTGAATGTGATTTTAATTAATGGAGCAGCCTCAAAATGGATATCAAGCCCTTCTCTTCAAACATAGTAGCTCTAATTTGCAATTGGCAGTTAGACACAAAATATTAAAAATGGGTAAAAGTCATAGTTTTAATGCAATGAGCTTAGGCATCCAAATTATATGCATTGAGATATTGGAGTGAAATGGGAAATATCAGATGTGTAAATCTATAAAATGAGTTTGAAACTCAAACCCAAGTTCGTGTATTTGAGGACAAAAATATTTTTTGCCGTTGCAACTTGGAGCAAATACAAAAAATTCTTTATTAGTTTTACTTCTTTTAAAGTAAAGCAAAGAGAAATTTTTAAAAAGTTGATTATTTTCAAATGATGGCTTGAAAGAGTTTAAATTTAGGTTTCCATCTAAGCTAGAATGTAATCCTAGAAATTTAAAAAGTATTTTGCATTTCCATATCTATCAGTGGAGCTGATTCCTGGAATAGGTGTCCTCATTCCTCTGACAGGAATGTCCATTGCCATTTCTCCTCTGCCATCTTAAAATAACAAGTCAGAATGTTCTTGTTAAAATAAAATTGTTCAATAAGTATGTGTTCATGGGTGTGGATTGAGGTCACTCTTGAATTTATAAGATATGCCCCATTTAAGACACACTATTAGATTATGTTAGCAACAGAATATATATATTTATCCCATTCTAGTGTTAACAAATCTCCAAACATCTTTCCTGGTTGATGTGATTCCTGTAAAATTTAGGAATAATAATTTACCCACTAAAGTTTCTTCTGTGAGGACAGGATTCCTGTTACTGTTTTAGAAATTTCATTTATTTGGACATTGCTATTTAAAATATAATTTCACACTGAGTTAAATATGTGCCTGTACTAGCAGTGCAAATGTAGCAATAATGAAAAGGAAAAAAAAAGTACAGTTTTCTTAGTCAGCATTTATTACTGTGCTGTATTATTTAAAGAGGAAACAATAGAAATAGGAATAGGTCTTCTGTGTTGCTGTAGTTTTCATTAAAATAGTTGTTTGGATCAGGAAAACGAGATTTGAAAATTTCTAAAAACTTGTTTTTAAAGACAGAAATAGTATAGACAATGATTTAGATATGTTAAAAGGAATGTTAAACATTTTCTGTTGTTAATCATACCTAACACTAAAGTAGGGGATAAATACTTGAGTTTCTGTCAGTAGCATAATCCTGTATCCGGAGTGGTCATATCTTATGAATACAAGTATAAATATAAATTTTATTATAGAGTTATATTACATTACACTATAACAGCAGTTTTATATTTCCAAAAAAAGATGTCTTTTGCAGAATATAGTAATAGCACCTATCTGTCTCTTCTGGAAGTTAATTTTTGTATTTGATGGACCTATACATAAAACAAACAGGAAGCCCTTCTAGGTCTATTACTTTAAGTTTACAAAGGTTACTATTAAGTAGAAGTATATTACATTTTAGCTAAGTATTTATTGTTGGCCATAAATTCTTTTGTATGAAAAATTGGAACATTAAAAATATTACATGAAAACTTATGGAATTGTAATGATGAATAATTAATATAAATGTTTATAACAATAATAAAACAATTGAATTATATTCTGTATTTATCTTATTTTGTCACAAGGTTTAAGAGTACTGTAAATAAGCTACAATAATATCAACTAATAAATAAATAAATTTGAAATTCCTGATTAACTTTTGCTTAATACTAACAAATCTTTCAGTATTAAGGTCAGGGTCTTGGAAAAATCCTCTGTTGGAATTAATGAATTTTATTTTAAGCTACACGTGCATATCAATTACAAGAGCTTTCCACAGTGGGATGAGCAGCAGCAGCAGATCTTCTAAAATTGACTATTTTTCAAGGAACATATTTAATATTAAAGGATTTTTTTGAGTTTTTAAATATTACAATCTGTTTTAAAACATGCCTATAATATTGAATTGTTTCTGATAATATACTTTCCAAAGCACAAAAGGCAAGTTAAATTACATATGAAACTACATCTTGGGGTATAAAAAACCCTACTTTTATTGCCATGTTTATCATTACATAGTTCTTATCTAATTAAATTCACATATTAATGATTCAGCAATAAAATGGCAGCACGTGTAAATAAATTACTTAAATGAAATTATGGTGTGAATATTCCAGTTACTATCACTATCTGAAAATAAAGAAAAAGCAAGATCGTGTGCCAGGCCAACATCAATTCTTGTTTAAACATAAAAACTTGAACTTAAAATAACA